CACGAGTGTGTTGTGGCGTTACTCTTAATAGAAATCATATATCCGAACACGGATCTGTTCCATTGATTGATACGAAGGACGATTTATTACGTTCGATTCGTTGAATATCCGTATCGTTGGGGACGTCTCGCGATTGAGAAAGAGAACATGTTTAATTATTTTTTTTATTACGTGATCGCCAGTTCTCTTATGATACTTGCGTGGCGTTATATTTAATTAAAGATGCCATCCCAATTTTACTAGGTGTCATTGATGAAGATTTTTTAAATATCAATCTACTTAGTATTAATTATTATTAGCCACTGATGCAATTTATTTTCAAATAAACGTTTTCTCTCATATATTTTTAGAAAGATGAGGAACACTATTTTTAAAGGATAAAGTTCCGAATAGGTGAACCCTCCGATTTTTTTGAAACTACACTATTTTTTGTATTTTTTAACGCTGATTACAAATGTGATAATGAAAATTTGCGACAAGGTCATTTTCAAGGTCAAAACTCAAAAAAAAACTGAAAAAATATACTTTTTTAAATATTATTTCGATAAATATTGATGTAAGAAAAAAATGTGTCAAATAAAAGTTGTAGTTCTTGTAAAAATACATCATTTATGTTCTATACATTTTTTGCGTAAAACTGAAAGTTTTCGAGAAAATCGATGTTAAAGAATAAAAACGGCAGGTGAAGTTCCGAAAAGTGCTCACCTCTGATTTTTTTGAAACTCAGTATTCTTACGTATTTTGATGCACTGATTACGAATATCATAATGAAAATTGGTGCATCTCTCATTTTCATAGTGAAAATCATGAAAAACCCATAACAATTTTAGATCTTACAGAGAAAAACATTTTATGTCCTATTAATTTTTACCGTACGATAGTTTTCAACAAAAACGATGGAATCTAAATCTTATATCTGTTCTCCCATCTAAGCATGTACTTTGCAGTACATATACGATTCCACATGGGTTTACAACTTTCCACGTAGAGCGAGGTTCCACGCAAACCTATTTGTCTAGTTTTTCGGTAGTGGAGCCCCCCGCAGGGGGGCGGAACCCACTGTTTCCACGCATACACTTTTTCACGCGAAGCCAGGTTCCACATGGGTTTGCAACTTTCCACGCAGAGCGAAGTTCCACGCAAACCTATTTGTCTAGTTTTTCGGTAGTGGAGCCCCCCGCAGGGGGGCGGAACCCACTGTTTCCACGCATACACTTTTTCACGCGAAGCCAGGTTCCACATGGGTTTGCAACTTTCCACGCAGAGCGAAGTTCCACGCAAACCTATTTGTCTAGTTTTTCGGTAGTGGAGCCCCCCGCAGAAGGGCGGAACCCACTGTTTCCACGCATACACTTTTCCACGCGAAGCGAGGTCCCACATGGGCTTGCAACTTTCCACGCAGAGCGAAGTTCCACGCAAACCTATTTGTCTAGTTTTTCGGTAGTGGAGCCCCCCGCAGGGGGGCGGAACCCACTGTTTCCACGCATACACTTTTCCACGCGAAGCGAGGTCCCACATGGGCTTGCAACTTTCCACGCAGAGCGAAGTTCCACGCAAACCTATTTGTCTAGTTTCTCGGTAGTGGAGCCCCCCGCAGGGGGGCGGAACCCACTGTTTCCACGCATACACTTTTCCACGCGAAGCGAGGTCCCACATGGGCTTGCAACTTTCCACGCAGAGCGAAGTTCCACGCAAACCTATTTGTCTAGTTTTTCGGTAGTGGAGCCCCCCGCAGGGGGGCGGAACCCACTGTTTCCACGCATACACTTTTCCACGCGAAGCGAGGTTCCACATGGGTTTGCAACTTTCCACGCAGAGCGAAGTTCCACGCAAACCTATTTGTCTAGATTTTCGGTAGTGGAGCCCCCCGCAGAAGGGCGGAACCCACTGTTTCCACGCATACACTTTTCCACGCGAAGCGAGGTTCCACATGGGTTTGCAACTTTCCACGCAGAGCGAAGTTCCACGCAAACCTATTTGTCTAGATTTTCGGTAGTGGAGCCCCCCGCAGAAGGGCGGAACCCACTGTTTCCACGCATACACTTTTCCACGCGAAGCGAGGTCCGAAAAACTAGACAAATAGGTTTGCGTGGAACTTCGCTCTGCGTGGAAAGTTGCAAACCCATGTGGAACCTGGCTTCGCGTGAAAAAGTGTATGCGTGGAAACAGTGGGTTCCGCCCCCCTGCGGGGGGCTCCACTACCGAAAAACTAGACAAATAGGTTTGCGTGGAACCTCGCTCTACGTGGAAAGTTGTAAACCCATGTGGAATCGTATATGTACTGCAAAGTACATGCTTAGATGGGAGAACAGATATAAGATTTAGATTCCATCGTTTTTGTTGAAAACTATCGTACGGTAAAAATTAATAGGACATAAAATGTTTTTCTCTGTAAGATCTAAAATTGTTATGGGTTTTTCATGATTTTCACTATGAAAATGAGAGATGCACCAATTTTCATTATGATATTCGTAATCAGTGCATCAAAATACGTAAGAATACTGAGTTTCAAAAAAATCAGAGGTGAGCACTTTTCGGAACTTCACCTGCCGTTTTTATTCTTTAACATCGATTTTCTCGAAAACTTTCAGTTTTACGCAAAAAATGTATAGAACATAAATGATGTATTTTTACAAGAACTACAACTTTTATTTGACACATTTTTTTCTTACATCAATATTTATCGAAATAATATTTAAAAAAGTATATTTTTTCAGTTTTTTTGAGTTTTGACCTTGAAAATGACCTTGTCGCAAATTTTCATTATCATATTCGTAATCAGCGTTCAAAAATACAAAAAATAGTGTAGTTTCAAAAAAATCGGAGGGTTCACCTATTCGGAACTCCACCCTTTTTAAATTGAATATTATTGAATTAATCGATATATGTTATACGTAATTAATTGTAATTGGAAGAAATTGTTTTTATGCCATTGATTTACTACAATTATTTGCTTTTTTAGAGAGCGATATTTCGCTACGCCGTGCTTTGCTCATTATAATCGTGAAATTGAAATTTATGTATCTTCATATTCATATACGATCATTTCATTGTTGTATAAAACAACCCTCTGAGAGCCACGCAATCTGCATTATATGTGTAGAAAAGAAATAAGAGAAATTTTACACCTCTGTTTTCTCTTCTTTCGGCTAATTTTGCCCTCCTTGCAAGTTTACACATTATTCGGCTGCAGACAGATTCTAATATATATGCAGATTGCAGATACGAGATCCTCCCGAATTTTACATACATTGTAGTACCTTCTATTACGCAAATATGTATATAATTTTCCAAAATTATTGCATACACCTGCTTACGTCATTTAAGAAAGAGAGCATTTTACTTTAATAAAAATTGATATCATTATGAAAAAATGTGGGCACAATTTTACGTCAATTTATTTCTTCGAAAAGATATTTATTTGCGTTGATCTCTTTATCTCTTTAATCGGACGTATAGGATTTGATTACTAAATTTTGATCTCGCTAGGTATTAGATATAACATTATTCCAATTCATCTGATCGGGACACGCTTTTCGTTGGTCATATTGTTGCATTTAGACTCGCTCAGCGATTCATTTGTACATGGGTGGAACCGAACGCCGATCGCGAACGGTGCAAACACCGTTCTGGCTCACGCAGGAGATACGATCTCGCGCATATACGAACAGCAACGTCCTCGGGGCCGAGTGGATCCCTCTCCCGTTGTAAGCCGGCTACGCCATTAAGCTGGAATTCAGGTGTATTAACGATGCTGGGCCGCGCGCGGCAGGTACGTAGCGACCACCCGTGGGCACCCGGTAGCGCATTAATGGCAACGCCACAGAGCGGAACTCTTCGTTAAGAAGAAAGAGAAAGAGTCGTTTTATTTCGCCTATCTTACGCGCTCGCGATCTAAACTACACGTTTACTGCCGACGCGACACGGAACTCCTATGTCTCTTAGAACCGGTGGGAAAGGGTTACGGGGGACGGCGATTGTGTACGAATGCGAGGACGTTGGTCAACTGCCGCTACTTCGGCTAGGAGGACGTTGAGAGATTTTCGCGCTACTACGATATTTTAAGAAGTGTGTTTTGACATTACCATTCTATTTATTATACTATCTCAACATGTTCTATTGGAGTACATATTAAACCGGAAGAGGATAATCCGAGGATTAATCCAATCGTTGCAATATCGATCAGCGTGATTAGAGGTTTTTGCGGAGTCGCAATATTTTAAGAAATCTATCTCGTGATTATTGCCCCATCTCCTTAATTACTGTATTAATTTTTTTTAACTAAAATAGGTTGGAATCTATATACCTGCGTGATTTGATTCTTTGTATGCTTTCATGCAGCAAATCGCGGAAACACGCCGATGCGGTTAATCCCGCGAGAATATAAGCAAAGCGGGTTGTATCGTGGTCTCTATGCTCTTATTTGAATTCTGTGCTCTAAGCGGCATCCTCGTTATCGAGAAATTCCAGCGTACAGCAGTTCCGCAGGTGTTACGCGTAAATAAATGAAGGTCGATGCATTCGTGGAATTATTAATTTATTTTTCGTAAGAAAAAATACATCAATTTTTATCGTTGTAATAATAATTCTTGTTAATGTAAAAATTGTTGTTATTTTATTTTTATTATATATCAAAGGTTGATTCATTTAAGATCAATGTTTAAATTATGATACAAAGAGAGTTACCAATTTGATACACGTATAATTATATACATCTAGATATATTCTGAAAATCTTGCAGCTGCAGATTTATTATAACATGATTTTAAAGAAACATTTTTGGAGAAAAGGAGAATATTGCATATCAGGTATAAATTAGAAAGTTGTGTATTAAGTTAATGTTTTGTGCCAAAAAGCATAAAAAACATTAAATCTTTAATAAAGTAAAATTATATAACTTTCATTAAAATTATACAGAAAATAATACATGCGTGATTAATACATGAATAATTAATAGAATATATACATTTATTATATTATATTTTTATTATATGTTTCAGATGGTTCTGCCATTTCGATGACGATAATTACGTGAACGTGCCACGCCTGTTGAAGCTCCTGGACAATTATAACCCGCGGGAGGATTGGTACCTTGGCAAGCCCTCGATACCTGCGCCCTTGGAAATCATCAGGCAGGGTCCGGAGCCACAGAAGCGACCGGTGAGTGCAGATCAATCATACTTTCTCTTTTTTCACGCATTTTTCTGATACGTTTTTTCTGACTTTTAAATATATCCGTATGAATTACACACTGCTCGCTGTTGTATAAAAAGTATTTGTCCGAGGATAGAAAGCAATATATACATGTAGTAAAATTGTATAAGATTCAGATCTTTAATATTTTTCTGTTGTTAATGGATCGGTGGATATTTTTCTTGTCTTGAATAATTTAATTCACACTTATTATAAATTATTTCTTGCCGATGTTTCCAAGATTTTTTTTTTAGCGTGATTGATTTATTCTGTATATGAATCATTAATTTTTTTTTTACTACCTTTATTAATTACTTGCAATATAATATCGAGACTCTAAGAGTTTTCATTAAACATTTATCCATCGATCCAACTGTACAACATCTTTATTTCGACCATCTGCTTCGATGTAAACTTACTTGGACCGTAATTACACGCTCCTCCGAAAATCAACTTAATTACGCGCGTCTTCCGCGCTCGGTCAACCTCAAAGAAGTTGTCCCTGTCGACGATTTATTAAACATCGTAATACCAAGAGTAGCAATTTAAAACCATGACAATAACGAGCGTTTTGCTACCCAGCATGCGAAGATACCGCAGACGTGAAATTCGTCTGACCGTCTTTGAAGCTTTTGGTAGAAGATGAAATTAAACGCGCCGACAGAAAGAAGGTCGGGAATAGGAAAAAGATGGAATAGATAGTTAAAAGGAAAGAGAATAAGATTATTTAAAGAAATATTTTCTTTCTTCTCCTTTCTTTACCGTCTTCACGCGAGAAACATTACTGCGCCTGCCGTCACTAACGGGTGGTCTTATCGAATTTATGCATCCGCGAGACGACGGCTTCCGGCGAAGTCGGAGCGTGCACATGTCGTGGCGAGCACAGGTATAAATAGGGATCGCTCCGCTTTTGTAAGCAAGTCCGTTCGACGGTGAAGGTGCAATGTGCGAAGAAAATGCACGATAACGTCTATTCTTTTTAATGCTTCCCTCCGGCGGTGTCTTCTTCGCGCCGCGAGTTTCAAGCTATTATCTCGCACCTCGCGTATATGTATCCCCTTTATCCCGAATGCGAGTGTGCGATGGGTTTTTATGGGTAAATCTCGTCTCGCGAGCTCGTGCCCATGAAATTTCGATTTTCTTTCACGGAAGACAGTCGTTGCAACCGTTCGCGAGCGCGGAATTTACTGTATTCTCGGATATTCAATCTACGATACTTTTTGCTCGCACATGTATCCGCGAAATTGCTCTCGGAGATTTGACGTATTGCATATGGAATGTTTTCATGATATTTCTTTACTATCACGCGCGAAAGATAATAAGGGGAGATATTCAATAAAAAATATTTGAAATAATATATTTTATTTTTATTACTTTTTTTATGGTAGTGCAATTTTAATTCGCAATGCATTTTTCATTTATATGAGAGACATTATTCTCCCTCTCTCTTTTAAGTTGTAACACGATCTTTTCTTAAAATATCATTTCCGGAAAATTGGGGGAAAGTTGAATTGAATATAAATTTGAAATTAATAAATTATTATTCAAACAACGTGAAAGATCAATACATTTGTAAAAGGGAACGAAATGTGTAGTGGTGCGTTTTTTCGAGGCACAGCAAGCGGAGAAACTCGCCCGTGCACAATCACGAATCGATAAAAGCCTGTCTCACGTACTGCTTTAAAGAGAGATACACGATGCGATTCGGATGTCGCCGATATGATCGCTGACGCTCGGCAGCCGACGGTTAAAGGAAGCCCGCGATCTTATCACACGGCGGTGTCATGCTATGAGGCCATTAATCCTTTTTCTTCTGCCGAGATGAGAAATGAAAAAGGATAGTCGTCTCTCTGTAACGTCACTCACGGTCGAGAAAGGACCGGCCGATATGTCCCGGAAAAAAATTCCAGGATACGCACGTCATTCGCTCTAGAAATTGATAACCGTTTTAATCCACTTGTTCGGGAATTTAAAATACACCTTTTTTTTGCGCCATTCGCTTGCGATATACGCGCATCGAATCAATTTTTAAATTGATGCGCTTTTTACGCTCGCGGGATTTGCATTCCGCGATTGAGAACAGAACAAAGTGAGAAAAATAGTACAAATTGGAAAAGCCGCTCTTCTTTCATCACGGGGGAAAAAAGATACGGGGGAGGGAAAATAGATAAAGACAAGCAAGGTTCGTGGTGCTCTCGAGATGAAACGATAAATCTTGCAAAGCCCGTAGGATCCGTTCCTCCTTCTGAGATTAACCGCTTCTTATAAGGCCCGATCGAAGCCATTCATCAAGCGCCTTTCTTGATATCTCTT